TGTGTGAGAGAGTGTGAGGTGAGTGAGTGAGTGTGTGAGAGAGAGTGTGTGTGTGTGTTTGAGAGAGAGAGAGAGTGTGTGTGTGTGTGCGTGCGTGCTTGCTGGGCTTTCTAAGGACACCAATAATGAACATGATCTGGGTATGTAATATCTTTACATTTATGAAGAATAATCATCTTTTCCCACTTGAGCCAGAAGGCAGAAGCTGATGGATGGAAGGATGAAGACACACACGGCTGCAGATCATTAGTGATGTCTGAAGATCTGCGTCATGCTGCAGGCGTTTATGCAGACAGACCTCACTCATGTGTTATATATGTAGTTATGAATGTAATCATCTGCTTTCCTTTGTTTTCTGCTGTGTTCAGATTTATAGACACGTATATTAACAGCACATTAGTCGTGTGTCTCATCCAGTTATTAAAGCCGGTCATTTTTTTTTATTTCAGCTTTTTGTCAAGGCAACTTTTCTCATTTTTTTATTTAGTTTAACTTGTGTACTAAAATAACTAAAATTCAAAAATAATAATAAACTATATAGACATTTAAAAAAATAAACACAAAAATGTTACCGAAACTAAAATTAAAATAAAAAAGATATACAAATAAATATATAATAATAATAATAATACAAAGAAAAACTAATTTTAATAAAAAAAATAAACAAATAAAAACAAAAGTATACATGACAAAAAAGTATATTTAAATAAAACACACAAAAAATAATGTGTGCGTTCAGCTATATTTCTAATCCTTATAGTATTAAGAATATACAAATAAATATATAATAATAATAATAATACAAAGAAAAACTAATTTTAATAAAAAAAAATAAACAAATAAAAACAAAAGTATCTCAGTGATACTAAAATAACACTGAAACACAAAGCATTCACGTCTCAGTGTTTTATAAGTGATGTTCTGCCATCTGGTGGCCGATTTAATTCATAACATGTTTAATTGTTTGTGTCCTAAATAATTTTATGTAGTTTTAACGTTAATAAGGCACATATGATCATTTATAAAAACATATCATTTTTTTATTTCGGTAATTGAAAACACAAAAAAATATAAATACACGAAAAAATTAATTAGAAATGTTGCCTTGGTAAATAACTTAAATAGTAAAAAAAAATAAATAATAAGTATTAAAAAATAAAACTGAATTAAAAATAAATGAAAGCTAACTAATAATATAAAAAAAAGCACATAATGAAATTACGAAAACTAAAATGCGAATGAAAATTGAACAAAAATAAAAGCTAATTCAACATATTAATAAATACCATAATATATAAATTACACACACACACAAGAAAGTAAAATAATCATAAGAAAAAATAATCACAAAAAATAAAACAAGGAATTTAAAAACTTTGAAGATGATTTAAAAATTGATTTAAAATGAATTTAAGACAGTTAAAAATAGAAAATGATTATACATCACACACACACACAAGAAAGTAAAATAATCATAAGAAAAAATAAACACAAAAAATAAAACAAGGAATTTAAAAACTTTGAAGATTATTTAAAAATTGATTTAAAATGAATTTAAGACAGTTAAAAATAGAAAATGATTATACATACATAAAATGTATAAAGACAAAAGCATGGTTTACATACTAAATAATAGTTTAGCATTCAAATACATCGCGAATATGGAAACATTTGGATTCGTGCCGAATGATGGAGGTAGTCTGCTTGAGAACAAAGGCGTTTGCTTTCAGTTTCGCTTTAAATTAATTAGTTTTGGCTTGTTTAGCAACTTATATTTTTCATTGTTTTGTTCTGAATACAGTTAAATGTAAAGGATTTGTTGTGGAGTGAGGAGAACTAAAATAGCCTATAAGCTTGCTATTGTGTTTATTGCTTGTTCATTAGGGCCTATAACATTCCGCTTTATTTACCGCTATTATTTCTGAATGTAATTGCGGTTTGTGCTTGAAAGTGAAAGTAACTCAGAAGTAGTGTAACACATTACAATTCAGAGACAGTAATATTGTAATGTAACTAATTACTTTCAAAAGGCAGTAATAAGTAATATATAATGTATTACATTTTGGAAGCAACTTGCCCAACACTGGTCGTGTGTTAATCTAAAGGTCATGCCGCAGTGTTTGTTAACACTGGTCTTCATCCTCAGGAAATCATACTTATGAAATTTCACACGCATCCTCGCAGGTCCGAGCGTCCAGACTGTCTGACACCAGATCTGTGAAAGCAAACACACAGATGGCCTTAAAAAAAAAAAAGTGACTCTGCATCTAAATCAGTGTTACAGACACTGTGTGTCTGTGTGTTTGTGTGTGTCTGTGTCTGTGTGTGTCTCTCTGTCTGTGTCTCTGTGTGTCTGTGTCTCTGTGTCTGTCTGTGTGTCTCTGTGTCTGTCTGTGTGTCTCTGTGTCTGTCTGTGTGTCTCTCTGTCTGTGCCTCTGTGTCTGTGCCTCTGTTGTGTGTGTGTGTGTGTGTGTCTCTGTGTCTGTGTGTCGCTGTGTCTCTGTGTGTCTGTGTCTCTGTGTGTCTCTGTGTGTCTGTGTCTGTGTGTCTCTGTGTCTGTGTCTGTGTCTCTGTGTGTCTGTTCTGCCTGTGGATGTTTATAATACTCTGGATGATCAGTTGAGTTAAATCATTATATTCTGGGCTGAATTATTAGGAAACCCAGGGCCAATTCGGTTTTTGTTTACTTTTAGTTTAGGTTGCATTTCTTGATCATGTCCCTGTGTTTTTCTGTTTTACTTAATAAAGTTAAATTTTTTTAAATTAACTTAAATTTTGACTTAAATGTTAGGAAAAAATGGTGAACATTTTAATCTGACTGCAAAATTCTCTCATAATGTAGGGAACAATTTTGTTTATAGTCAGCTGGGTAGTAACTGATTACATGTGATCTGGATTACATAATCAGATTCCAAAAATTAATTACTATTTATTAGGGTATATAACATTTTTAAATGTTTTGACTACTAAAATCAGACTACTTTTTATGGATTGATTACACATTATTCAAACAATTGCATTAAATTATTCAGAATGTATTGATTCTCCCTAATTCTTCTTTTTTAACTTTAAAATTTTCCTTTCTAAAAATCCTACTGTGTGCCATATTGTTTAACTTTGACTATATTCACATATTCATATTCATATTCACATTCACATTCACTTGTTGTGTAAATAAATGTGCAATCCATGCTTCTAAATTTGAGGAGAAAATAGCACCTTCTCAAGCAATTAGTATGTATGTAAAAAATAATTATGCAAGCTACTAAACACTGGTGATGAATAGCTGTGAAACCCTACATCTTCATCATATCCAGTAACTGTTGATTATGGAAGACCGGACAAAAATATTTCAAACCTGGAAAATTTGGGGAATGCAATGTCATTGCTGTTTTCATGTTTATTAATGATTGTTCATATAATGTACGTTTATAACAAGTTTGTAATAATGTAAGTTTGAAAATAAGTTTGATAAAAAGCAATCTAAAAGTAACCTAAAAAAAAGTAAGTAGCCTAGATTATTTTACGAACTACAGTTTTCGTCATGTAATCGTCATGTAAAAAAACAATTTGTAAGTAATCTACCCAGCTCCGTTTATATTCCCCACAGTAATCATTCCTAAAGTGGACATCCATAGTAATTTTTCCATTCTATGGAAGTCAAAGGGGAACTGTCAGCTGTTTTTATTTTTTGTGTTCAACAGAAGAAAGAAACACATACAGGTTTGGAACAACATGAGGGTGAGTAATGACAATTTTCTTTTTGGTGACCTATGTCTTTAATGTGTAGTATGTTAAGTTGTTGATACAAATTAAATTCAGAGTGTGTTTACATTTACACCCACAATCAAAATAGAATGTTTGATTAAAAAAGAAAGAAAAAAGAAAAAAGAGGTTATTTCTGAAGTAGAAACAGTTTTCACTGAAAATAATTGCTGGTAAATTTCACAAACAATTCCAAAGAAATGGCACATTGAATTAAACGTGCAATTTTAAAGTTGAAAAACTGAAATATATGGAAGGCATCTTTTTTTATCTCACAATTCTGACTTTTTTCTTGCAATTCTGAAGGGAAAAAATAATAATTGCAAGATGTAAACTCAGAATTCTAAGGAAAAAACGGCAGAAGTATGATATAAACTCAGAATAAAATAAAAAAAAAGCATATAAAAAAATCATATCAAATTAAATCAAATCATATCAAATTATTATATCAAATTATATCTCCAAATTGTGAGAGAAAATTACCTTTTTTATTTTTTTATTCTGTGGTGGGAACAAGCTTCCATAAGTAATAGTATTTTCTTGTAAAATGTCATCTTTGTTTTATATATATATAAAAAAAACCATTATTTAATAATCATAAGTATAATTATTTTTTAAGCAAGATGTGATGGTACAGGAATGCTTTAAACCTTCAGTTTCCCAGTATAGGGAAAACCAACCGGGGCTTGTTGTCACTCTTTACAAGCAAATATTTCTCAGGGTGGATATATATGTGTGTTTATTGTTGAAATATCAAATATGCTTCCACAATATCTCCATTCATTCATTCATTCATTCATTCATTCATTCATTCATTTATCCAATTTAAGACGATGAAACAAAAATGTAAAAGGTAAAATGTTAAATTACAAATAAGACTTGACAACTTGCCCCATATTTAATGTTACACAGTACACAGGACTGTTTTGTAAGGATTTACCACAGGCAGGCGCTCTTTCGCTATTTTACAGGCTTTAAAAACCTTTCAGAGAAGAGTTATTGCAGATGTTTTAAGGGAAAACGTTTATGACGCATATGCGGGTCATGATGACGAGTAAATAAAAATAATACCGCGTCTGCGCGCAGCGGACTGAAGGCGGAGGTTTCCGCGCACGCCTGTCGTTACCATGACAGCACGGTTAGTAAACTCCCCCGTTACCGTCGGTCACCGATCAGCGGAATCCAGTGCCTGACGCGTCGCGTGCGCTGCTCGTGCAGACCGAGAGAGAATCAGAGAGGAATCGATCCTGCGGCGCGATGGGAACGTTCCGGAGCGCAGCGGTCGGTCTGGATGAGGAAGAGGAAGAGGAGGAGGAGGAGAGGCGCTGGGAAGTTGAGCGTCTTCCTCCACTGCTCGAGGACGAGGTGAGTTTGATTGATCAACTGACTGACAGTCTCTCACGAAGACATTCTATAGAAATATTGATATTACATATTACTGTAACATTACACGAATCTCTAAATGTCTAAATCTAATAAAGTCTTAAAGCACTAACCAAAAAGTACACACACGCACATTACAGTCAGGTCCGTATACATTTGGACACAGGCACAATTTTGTATTATTTTAGCTGTTGACCAAAACATATTCAAGTTACAGTTATATAATGAATATGGGCTTAATTAAAGTGCACACTCTGAGCTTTAATTTGAGGGTATTCTCATCACAATCAACAGTTTGGTACATTCTGAGAAAGAAAAAAAAGACGCACTGGTGAGCTCAGAAACATAAAAACGTCCACGGAGGACAACAGTGGTGACTGATCGGAGAATCCTCTCCATGTAGGGCAGGGCGATTTGGCTAAAAATAAAAACATTTCAGAACATTTGACCGATTCTCGATTTTTAACTAGACAACTTCAAAATGTAACTACAACATGATTCAAGTAACTTTTTCTTTATTAACCCTCTAGTTAAAGAAAATTCTATTCCAAGTGCAGCACACATGAAGTTGTCAACATGACGTAAATGTTAAACAAATCACTTGCTAAATATCTTTGCAGAAAAGATGCATGAACTACAACTACATCTTGTACAAACTTGTCTTATACATATTATATGTTCAGAAATAATACAAGGAAAATGCTTAAAAAATATCAAAAATCAAGGTAATTCAAATTCAAAATGACTTGTCACACCAGTAGACTATTATTAACTATAAATGTTCTATAAAAACAACAGCAGCTTTCAGTCAGTCACCATGATGCAAACATGAAATATCAGACATACAGTAGTAGTTACAGGTATTTTATTAGATTGCGCTGCTTTTCCATTGTTTTTCTATGTAAACATGGACGTGTTTGACTGTTGCGCTCGCGTCTCTTGCGTCTCTTCAAGCGGGATTTATACTTTGGCCTAGCTCCGCTCCGCGAGCCTCCACTTTTATACTTGTCGCGTTCGCCGTTGTCCTATTCTTTGAAGCGACAGGGGGCGACGAGGAGTAATTGTCCTCTAAAACCATCAGGAATCACCGGTGAGAAGAAGTCATTTGCCGGAAAAAGACTTCTCGAGTGATGAATGAGTTGATGAATTGATAATTTCTTTATGTACACACTGATTAAATTAATCTTAAGCTTTTGGCTTTATTTCGCATCAAACACAAGACAACTTTAAGCAAATAGTGTATAAATAGCATCTAAATTAATTCTAGTTCTATTTTTATACAATAAAAATAAAACGTACTTCAATTATAAAGCCTTGGACAAACTATGCAAAAAAACTATGCATTGTTTTTCCCTTAAAGCGTAAAAAAGCACCAGATTGAGTTTGAACTTCACATCAATTTGCTTCTGTTTCGGCATGTTCGGCTAGTCGCCTTGAAGTCGGGCATCTTCGGAAGCGAAGCTGCGCGGAAAGTTACAAAAAATGCCATGCACACCGCTACGCAAAATGAGGTTGCGCGCACTCAAAGCGAACTTGCAGATGCGTCGAGTATAAATCAGCCTTCATGCATGAAACAGCAGTCTAAAAACACGGTGCTCAAGTTGAAAGAAGTTCACTCCCATCTTCTTGCATGATTTTTCTATTGCACTGCCCGTGTCGCATCGTTGTCAATGCAAAATTGCATTCTGTGTGAATGGCACCTAGCGATATTCTACTTATGGTCCTTCACTGAGCGTGTCACACATGAGCAGTTCATCACGTGCGCCAACATGCGGTTGCATCATTCTTTTCTCTTTACTGTTATCACTGGCATAGTCAAAGTGTCTAATTATAACGTTTGGTAATATTTCTATTCAAAATCACGATTCCTCGATTTCTAAAAAATCAAATCATGGCAAAACATTAAATTTGAATTAATCTGAAAAATCGCCCAGCCCTATCTCCATGGTAAAGAAAAACCTTTTCACAACATCCAGCCAAAAGAAGAACACTCTCCAGGAGGTAGATGTGTCACTGTCAAAGTCTACAATCACGAGAAGACTAGACTTTGCTAAAAAACATCTAAAATAGCCAGAGCACTTCTGTAAAAGCATTCTTTGGATGGCTGAAATTAAGATCAACCTGTACCAGAATGACGGGAAGAAAAAAGTATGGAGAAGGCTTGGAACAGCTCATGATCCAAAGCATACAACATCATCTGTGAAACATGGAGCAGTGTGATGCATGAGCGTGCATGGCTTCCAGTGGCACTGGGTTACTGGTGTTTAGTGATGATGAGACAGAAGCAGCCGGATTAATTCTGAAGTGTATAGGGATATACGCTCTGCGCAGATTCAGCCAAATGCAGTAAAGTTGATTGGACGGCGCTTCATAGTACAAATGAACGATGACCCAAAACATACAGCAAAAGCAACCCAGGAGTTTTTGAAGGTAAAAAAGTGGAATATTCTGCAATGGCCAAGTCAGTCTCCTGATCTCAACCAGATTGAGCAGCGTTTCACTCGCTGAAGACAAAACTAAAGGAAGAAAGACCCACAAACAAACAATAACTGAAGTCAGCTGCGGTAAAGGCCTGGCAAAGCATAACAAAAGCTGCGGTAAAGGCCTGGCAAAGCATCACAAAGGAGGAAACCCAGTCTCTGCTAATGTCCATTGCCTGCAAAGGATTTTCAACAAAATATTACAAATGTAACATTTTAAATAAATAAAACATTTTATTTATGATTATATTTATTTGTCCAATTACATTTGAGCCCCTGAAAATGGGGGGACTGTGTCTAAAAATGGTTGTAATCCCTAAGCATTTTATGTTATAGTTTTGTTCAACCTCTTGAATTAAATCTTAAAGTCTGCACTTCAATTTAATCTTGATTGTTTTATGTTTAATTCTGTTCTGGTGGCATACAGAGCCAATATATATGGACCTGACTGTATACAAATGTATAATAAAAACAAATTCATGTGTTGTTATTATTGTATATAGGCTATATAAATATAAAATATATTTATATAATAAAATATCATGAAATTATTATATATCAATTATAAATAAAAACTAATCATTAATATGTATTACATATATGGAAAGTGTTATTACCGGTATTATCATTGTATACAGTATATTTGTCAGGGAAACACCAGCCTCGTCAGTCCCAGCACTCATCCTGCACGATCACAGTCACCTGAGTTCTGATTCCCCGCACCTGTCACTACGGCTGCGTACACTGGCTGGAGGGAGCCATCCAGCCTTTCCAAGTCATTACTGACCACAGGAATCTAGAGTACCTGCGAGATACGAAACGTCTGAATCCTCGACAGGCCTGTTGGGCTCTCTTCTTCAATCGTTTTAACTTTACGGTCACCTACCAACCCGGGACCCAGAATTCCCAGGCTGATGCCCTCTCCCGTCTCCACCAACCCTGGCAAGACAACACAGCTCCAGAAACCATTCTCCCTCCAGCCCTCATCGTAAGCCCCATTGAGTGGTCACTGGATGAGGACATTCGACAAGCCACGCTCACGGAACCTGCTCCGCCGGGAGGTCCAGAAGGGAAAACCTATGTTTCATTTACTCTCCGTCTTACCCTTCTGGACTCGCTCCATTCGTCTCCAGGCTCTGGACATCCAGGCAGCGAGCGAACCCTCTCGCTTCTCCAAAGCAGGCACTGGTGGCCGAACATGGCACGGGATGTCTCCCAATTCGTCAAGGGTTGCTCAGTCTGTGCCATATCAAAAACACCCCGTCACCTTCCACATGGTAAACTGGTTCCTCTACCCCTACCCCTGCCGGCAGCGGGCGTCGGGAGCTGCCTGTGGAGGAGGGGGTACTGTCAGGGAAACAGCAGTCTCGTCAGGTCCCAGCACTCATCCTGCATGATTACCGTCACCTGAGTTCTGATTCCCCGCACCTGTCACCACGTAATCAAGACCAGTATAAAGCCACCTTCACTCCTCACCAAACTTTGTCTAGTCTTGAAGTCGCTACCACAGACTTACCTGACACACCTACCGTTGATACTCACCTGCCGATCCCGATCTCCTTCATCTTCTGCCAACCTCGTCCTAGGAAATCTGTGAAAAGGAGAAAAGAGCCTGTTAGCTCACCAAGCTAAGTTGACATTATCTCCAGTATATTAGAGGCTTACCTGCTGACTCTCCAGTACTCTGCACTCGATTCCTGTTGTTAAATAAATACCATTGCACTTACCAATTACTCTATTTGTGGTCTCCTTCTGTTCGGTGACAATATTAAAATATACAGTATATGCAAAATAGGTGCTCAAATAAATATACAGTATATATATATATATATACACACATATATATAATTTGTATTATGAAATTTTATGTGTCTGTGTATATATTATAAAATATACATTTACGTATTATATATATACTCTATATATAATTATAAATAAAAAACAATATTTAAAATATATTAATATAAATAATACTATGTGTGTATATATAATTAATGTGTTATTACATATCTGTAAAATATATCTCAATTATAAAAAATGATATATATATATATATAGTCATATGAAAAAGTTAGGACACCCTATTGAATTCCATGGTTTTCTGTATGTGCGACAAAGTTAGGACACCCTATGATTTAATTGCTTGTAGATCCACATTTAGCAGTAATAACTTGAAGTAATAATTTTCTGTATGACTTTATCAGTATCTCACATCATTCTGGAGGAATTTTGGCCCACTCTTCTTTATAACATTGCTCCAGTTTATATTCAAGTTTATGCACAGCTCTCACCACAGCATTTCAGTCAGGATGAGGTCTGGACTTTGACTGGACTATTGTAACCCCTTGATTCTTTTCTTTTCAGTCATTCTGTTGTAGATTTGCTGGTGTTCTTGGGATCATTGTGCTTCAATGATCAATATATGACCCAATATTGGCCAAGCATTAGCTGTCGGACGGATGCCCTCAGATTTGACTCTAGAATACTTTGGGATACAGAGGA